TCACTCACCACAAATATCTAGTAATCTCTTTATCTCAGTTCCTGTCATACTAAGCGTTGAATAGGCCCATGTATAAATATCACCTTTGTCTGGTTGAGCACTTATTTCCTGTGCACTAAGAACACGCCCCCACATGTTGAATTTTGTAATTTGTCCAATAAATGCTTGATTAGTATCAAAACTCCCACCAACTGAGTCTTGTTCTTGTCCAAGGTATAGGCTTCCGCCCCCCTGAAGCGTAACTCCTTGTGCTTTTGTACCATCGGCTACTACCACTCCATCGACGTACAACTTATAATGCCCAGTTGTAGATGTCCGTAAAGCAGATTTGATGACATATGCCATCGTTGACTGAAACGCCAGTTGTTTGGTATAATGATCATTTATATATATTTTCAGATTATCATAGTCGTACAAAAGCAGCTCGTTGGCATCACCAGGTACAGCATAAGATATCAAACAACCATCATTTCTAGAAGTCGACTTCATCCATATGCAATAACTGACTTCACCCATATTTGGAATCGGTGTTGTTACTTTGATACGAGAATGTATGTCCACTAAGTCCAAATAGCAAGTCCGATCTACAAAGTAAGTATAATTAGAAACAAATTTATTTTTCTGTGCACCACGTGTCTTGTTCATAACCATTGAATACCGGCTTAAATATTAATCACATAATTTCACTGTTTTTAAGAGATGATAAATGTGTGTTGGCCATTTAAAGCAACGAGTGTTTTAATGAAAGGAACAAGTTTTGTAACGCATTTATATACATATTCTATATACATGTAGAGGTGTAATTGGTGAAGTCGCAACAACTGCCCAAAATATGTTTTCTCACCGATTTCTTGTGGTAATTAAGACGTTTTTAAATTGATTATATTTGTTTATAAATATAATTTAATTCAATTTTAATAAGAGATGTAACCATTGACAAACACATTTAAATAAATATTACATAATTTAAAATAAGAACATCTACTAACCATAGCGTTTCTCCAACTCTTTCTGCAAAAGAGAACGTATTTATGTTAGTATAGTATTTTATCATTTGCAGTTGGAATACAAAGACCCAGTCAATATACAGTTACACACAAGTTCCTTGTACAGCGCCGTGATGCGTAATACCTTTCAAATGACGACGAAGAATACAAATGTCAGAATATCCCAGCAAAGAGATGAGTTATAATACGTTGGAAAATTTGGCAACAAAAGATAATCGGCAAACCTCAAGCGCTAGACTGTTTCTTTAGAAGCTGCATATATTAAATTAGCCCCATCAACAAAACAATTAACATATTCAACCACATTACTGTTATGCTTTCAGATTGTGATCACATCAACAAATGTATTACTTCATTGGTTTGGATTGTATCAAATTGAACAACTTGGAAATGCCAGATCTAATTGTTTTTATTTGTGTTGAAGTTAATGTTCATTGCCACAATTGCTTTGAACCTCTTTATTGAATTGATGATCAAGATAGTATGGTATTATATATATATGGGTAATAAAGAGTGTTACCTCGTCACCAAGTTTTGCACCCAGCATCTGGGAGACACACAGACACGCAGTTATATAATACAATGCGTATACCCTCATCCTGTAATGAAATGAAGAACAACAGTATTGTATTTTCACTCGTATTTACATTAATTGCATAACGTTAGTCACATTGTCTGTTGTAAAAGAACTGAGGCGTAAAAATTAATACTACAAATGTTTAGAAAACACGTATATCGTTATATTATATTATATTATTATTATTATTATATTATCGTCATGATAACAAACACATGTTTTTGATTTAATAGACTTGAGTAGGAAAAATTACGTCAATTATGATTATCCCACTTCTAAGTGTAATGTATGAAAATCTGTGATAATTTAATGAACCAGAAAGGACTCAGTATAATTATAATCACTAATTTGTCTATCCTATTCGTGTTGTATTAGTACGTCTTCTTATGACAGCTTTTTAATTAAAAAAAATCTAATTTCAGTCCTGGTTAGCACGAAATGAAGAAGAATCCTTCAAAATGTGTTGTTCCATAACATTTCTTTTAACCGACATGGCAACTGAAATATTTAAAGCAATATTTAACCGATTAGTACTCAAGAGCATTTATTCTGAAAATGTCATGGCATTTCGTTAACACATTTTTGAGTTATAAGTCTACACATATCAAAATCTAATCAATTATTCAATGGCAGAATCTGACAATTTCATGCGAGAAAAATTTCATATTTTTTTGATTTATAAATAAAAAAAATATTTTTTAAATTGAAAATCCTAACTAATCTGCTTGTACATGTGTGGAACGTATTCATTGGCGTAATCCCCAAACTCTTGGCTGGCCGACTTCTGTTGCTACTGTTTTGTTTTCAA